CTGTTTCTAAAGTATTGGGAAAGAAACATTTGAACATGTTCACGCCTGAAGGTGTTGCATGTTCTGCAGGTGTATAAAGGTACAGCCTTCACACGTGTTGCATGTTCTGCAGGTGTATAAAGGTACAGCCTTCACACGTGTTGCATGTTCTGCAGGTGTTTAAAGGTACAGCCTTCACACGTGTTGCATGTTCTGCAGGTGTTTAAAGGTACAGCCTTCACACGTGTTGCATGTTCTGCAGGTGTTTAAAGGTACAGCCTTCACACGTGTTGCATGTTCTGCAGGTGTTTAAAGGTACAGCCTTCACACGTGTTGCATGTTCTGCAGGTGTTTAAAGGTACAGCCTTCACACGTGTTGCATGTTCTGCAGGTGTTTAAAGGTACAGCCTTCACACGTGTTGCATGTTCTGCAGGTGTTTAAAGGTACAGCCTTCACACGTGTTGCATGTTCTGCAGGTGTTTAAAGGTACAGCCTTCACACGTGTTGCATGTTCTGCAGGTGTTTAAAGGTACAGCCTTCACACGTGTTGCATGTTCTGCAGGTGTTTAAAGGTACAGCCTTCACACGTGTTGCATGTTCTGCAGGTGTTTAAAGGTACAGCCTTCACACGTGTTGCATGTTCTGCAGGTGTTTAAAGGTACAGCCTTCCACACGTGTTGCATGTTCTGCAGGTGTTTAAAGGTACAGCCTTCACACGTGTTGCATGTTCTGCAGGTGTTTAAAGGTACAGCCTTCACACGTGTTGCATGTTCTGCAGGTGTATAAAGGTACAGCCTTCACACGTGTTGCATGTTCTGCAGGTGTTTAAAGGTACAGCCTTCACACGTGTTGCATGTTCTGCAGGTGTTTAAGAGTTCAGAATATGACATGAGCCAGTACTGTGAACGGTTCATTAAAACGATCTGTTTCTCCTTCATTTAGAAAAGAATGACTTGTTTTCCAAATGATACATTTATGAGGGAAAGGTTCTGCTCATAAATCAGGGGCCGTGCTAATACGTTTGTTTACATTGTAGTTGCAGGATAGAATCAAATCTAAGCTGATGTCACCTGTTGTATCCTCAGCTGATTGGCTGATGTCACCTGTTGTATCCTCAGCTGATTGGCTGATGTCACCTGTTGTATCCTCAGCTGATTGGCTGATGTCACCTGTTGTATCCTCAGCTGATTGGCTGATGTCACCTGTTGTAGCCTCAGCTGATTGGCTGATGTCACCTCCTCAGCTGATTGGCTGATGTCACCTCCTCAGCTGATTGGCTGATGTCACCTCCTCAGCTGATTGGCTGATGTCACTTCCTGCCTGTGATGCTTGTACCTGTCACAGTATCGCTGTGAGGACGTGTGGACACGGTAAATAAGGTTATGGTTAGTGACTAAATGGACACCGTTGGCGAATACCACATTTGAGGCTGAATCTTGATGTTGTGCCACTTTTTGTCCACAGAATATTTCACCAAAGTCTAATTTGTTTAGAGAGAGGAATATGAATCCATGTTCCATTGAGTCAAACGCTTTGTAAAAGTCTAGAAACAGGATAAAGGTTTCGTCTGATACTAAATCTGAATAATCTAATATATCTAAGACAAGTCTAATGTTGTTAGAAATATGTCTGTTTTTCATAAAACCTCTGTAACCCTGCCGCATTATCAACGACATCATTTAGTAATCAGTATTTAGGCTTTTTGGTCTCCAGTCGTCCACATTTAGTAAATCCTTTGGTTTTGGCAGTAAAACTCACTAAAACACTTCTTTAGTAAAGGACCGAGCAGTGCTATATCACAGACTGTTGGTAGAGTTGTAACAAAACAAAATATAAATATATGTGCATTATAACAATATATAAGTGTAAAAAACAGGTACTTCACTTAAACTCTGGTAGGAAAACATAGCACCATTAATAACCTGAGTATTTTCTTCTTTTGTTTTCAAACTAGGAACACAATATCAACCTCAACAGTTCAGTGCAATTACTGGATCATTTGTAGCAGTCGTGAAGCATAGTATGGATTACTATAGTATGGATTATTATAGTATGGATTACTATAGTATGGATTATTATAGTATGGATTACTATAGTATGGATTACTATAGTATGGATTATTATAGTATGGATTACTATAGTATGGATTACTATAGTATGGATTATTATAGTATGGATTACTATAGTATGGATTATTATAGTATGGATTACTATAGTATGGATTACTATAGTATGGATTACTATAGTATGGATTACTATAGTATGGATTATTATAGTATGGATTACTATAGTATGGATTACTATAGTATGGATTATTATAGTATGGATTACTATAGTATGGATTACTATAGTATGGATTATTATAGTATGGATTACTATAGTATGGATTACTATAGTATGGATTACTATAGTATGGATTACTATAGTATGGATTACTATAGTATGGATTGCTATAGTATGGATTACTATAGTATGGATTATTATCGTATGGATTACTATAGTATGGATTACTATAGTATGGATTACTATAGTATGGATTATTATAGTATGGATTACTATAGTATGGATTATTATAGTATGGATTACTATAGTATGGATTACTATAGTATGGATTACTATAGTATGGATTATTATAGTATGGATTACTATAGTATGGATTACTATAGTATGGATTACTATAGTATGGATTATTATAGTATGGATTACTATAGTATGGATTATTATAGTATGGATTACTATAGTATGGATTATTATAGTATGGATTATTATAGTATGGATTACTATAGTATGGATTACTAGTATGGAGTCCTATCGAGCCATGATGGTTCGGGGGACTCCTGAGGCAGCTGTCCAGTACCGGCAGGCCAAGCGTGCCGCGGCCCGGGCTGTTGCAGAGGCAAAAACCCGGGACTGGGAGGAGTTCGGAGAGTCCATGGAGCATGACTATCGGTCGGCCTCAAAGAAATTCTGGCAAACCGTCCGGCGCCTCAGGAGGGGGAAGCAGTTCTTTGCCAACACCATGTACGGTGCGGGGGGTGAGCTGCTGACCTCGACTGGGGATATTGTCGGGCGGTGGAAGGAATACTTTGAGGTTCTCCTCAATCCCCCCGTCACGTCCTCTGTCTCAGAGGCAGAGGCTGAGGATGCTGGGGCGGATACATCCATCTCCCTGGCTGAGGTCACCAAGGTGGTTGGTAGCCTCCATGGTGGCAAGGCTCCGGGAGTGGATGAGATCCGCCCTGATTATCTAAAGTCTCTGGATGTTGTAGGACTGTCTTGGCTGACACGTCTCTGCAGCATCGCGTGGCGATCGGGGGCGGTGCCAATGGAGTGGCAGACCGGGGTGGTGGTCCCTCTCTATAAGAAGGGGGACCGGAGGGTGTGTTCCAATTATCGTGGGATCACACTCCTCAGCCTCCCCGGTAAGGTCTACTCCAAGGTACTGGAGAGGAGGCTACGGCCGATGGTCGAATCTCGGATCCAGGAGGAGCAGTGTGGTTTTCGTCCCGGTCGCGGAACACTGGACCAGCTCTATACTCTCCATCGGATACTCGAGGGTTCATGGGAGTTCGCCCAACCTGTCCACATGTGCTTTGTGGATTTGGAGAAGGCGTTCGACTGTGTTCCCCGGGGTGTCCTTTGGGGGGTTCTCCGGGAGTACGGGGTCGGGGGTCCTCTGCGGAGGGCCATCCGGTCCCTGTATGACCGGAGCCAGAGCTGTGTTCGCATTGCCGGCAGTAAGTCAGACCTGTTCCCGGTGAATGTTGGCCTCCGCCAGGGCTGCCCTTTGTCACCGGTTCTGTTCACTGTATTTATGGACAGAATATCTAGGCGCAGCCAGGGGTCGGAGGGGGTCCGGTTCGGGGACCACAGAATTTCATCTCTGCTGTTTGCGGACGATGTTGTCCTGTTGGCTCCAACGAACCAGGACCTGCAGCATTCACTGGGACGGTTTGCAGCCGAGTGTGAAGCGGCTGGGATGAGAATCAGCACCTCCAAATCTGAGGCCATGGTGCTCGACCGGAAAAAGGTGCCTTGCCCTCTGCAGGTGGGTGGAGAGGTCCTTCCTCAAGTGGAGGAGTTCAAGTATCTCGGGGTCTTGTTCACGAGTGAGGGAAGAATGGAGCGTGAGATTGACAGGCGGATCGGTGCAGCGTGCGCAGTGATGCGGTCGCTGTATCGGACCGTTGTGGTAAAGAGGGAGCTGAGCCGAAAGGCAAAGCTCTCAATTTACCGGTCAATCTTCGTTCCCTCCCTCACCTATGGTCATGAGCTTTGGGTAATGACCGAAAGAACGAGATCGCGGATACAAGCGGTCGAAATGAGCTTCCTCCGCAGAGTGGCTGGGCGCTCCCTTAGAGATAGGGTGAGGAGCTCAGTCACACGGGAGGAGCTCGGAGTAGAGCCGCTGCTTCTCCACGTCGAGAGGAACCAGTTGAGGTGGCTCGGGCATCTGTTCCGGATGCCTCCTGGACGCCTCCCTGGGGAGGTGTTCCGGGCACGTCCCACCGGGAGGAGGCCCCGGGGAAGACCCAGGACACGCTGGAGAGACTATGTCTTTCAGCTGGCCTGGGAACGCCTTGGGGTCCCCCCGGACGAGCTGGAGGAAGTGTGTGTGGATAGGGAAGTCTGGGCGACTCTGCTTAGACTGCTGCCCCCGCGACCCGGCAACGGATAAAGCGGAAGAAAATGGATGGATGGATGGATGGATTACTATAGTATGGATTATTATCCTGACGAAGGGAACACTTCTTTTCCATCCATGAATCCTCCACATCCCACAGTCGGCCTTTTTACCTTCGCTTCGTGCCTTTTCTATGATGGGCCACAGCTTACTTCGACGATCACGATCTTCCTTTGATAGATCCTCCTCAAACTTGAGGTCACGGTGGTCCTTCAGGAAAGGTGAGGGTTTTCCGCTCTCCATAAACTGTCTCTGGTCACCCGCCAAATAAACTGGATGATTGCTCTGGGTTTGCTTTGACGTTTAGGGCCGATGCCATGTACTGTGTCAGTGGTCTCACGAAGGCAACACGCCTGACAGACAACACGCCTGACAGACAACACGCCTGACAGGCAACACGCCTGACAGACAACACGCCTGACAGACAACACGCCTGACAGGCAACACGTCTGACAGGCAACACGTCTGACAGGCAACACGCCTGACAGACAACACGCCTGACAGGCAACACGCCTGACAGGCAACACGCCTGACAGGCAACACGCCTGACAGGCAACACGCCTGACAGGCAACACGCCTGACAGACAACACGCCTGACAGACAACACGCCTGACAGACAACACGCCTGACAGACAACACGCCTGACAGACAACACGCCTGACAGACAACACGCCTGACAGACATCAGCAATCTCTCGTGCATCTTCGTTTAGGGTTTCTTCGATCCCGAAGAGACGGAGATTCCAACGCCGGGAGTATCTTTCCAAATCTGTGATTCTTTCTTGTTTTGATTTGGCTTTCCTTTTTAGTGATTTTCACTTCTAAAGCGCCCACTCTGCCTTTGACATCTTTAATCTCCTCACAAGCAAAGTCTACTGTCTTTTTGAAGCCAGATCATCCATCTGTCATCCATCCGATCATTTATTAGCTTCGAGATAGTAGCAATAACATCCGTGTCTTCTGCCTTGGAACTGCTTTTTTCGGTGCAGGAGACTGACTTGGTGATAAGGGTAAAGCTAGATGACTCTACAGATTGTAGAGTCATCGGGCTAACTGCATAATCACGACACGTGTCAAATAGCGGGTTTCCAGCATCCTGATTAGCTTTATCCGTTAGCATTAGCTTAGTTCGAGCACTTCCTAGCGGTCTTTTAACGTCGCGGTTTGCCATTTTGAGACTTGTCTGTTAGCACAGAGTCTGTTGTAGTGTCACGCACGGTAAGCTCTTTCAAAAGTTTGATATGAGCACGTTTTCTACCGTTTTCATTGTTTTATGTTGCAGAGCTCGGCAGTAAGCGTGTACTTACTCGGCCATCTTGGAACGCCCCCGGGTGAACCTGCTCTCATCCGTGAAGAGCACAGGGCACCATTGGACAATCTGCCAATCACTGTGTTCTCGGGCACATGCCAATCAGGCTGCACGGTGTTGGGCAGTACGCACCTCATACCACCCTCATGGAGTCGGTTTCTGACCGTTTGACCAACATGCACATCTGTGGCCCTCTGTCTTGGCCTGTCTCCTGGTGTGCCGGCTTGTCTCCTGGTGTGCTGCCCTGTCTCCTGGTGTGCTGGCCTGTCTCCTGATGTGCCGGCCTGTCTCCTGGTGTCCTGGCCTGTCTCCTGATGTGCCGGCCTGTGTCCTGGTGTGCCGGCCTGTCTCCTGGTGTACTGGCCTGTCTCCTGGTGTGCTGGCCTGTCTCCTGGTGTGCTGGCCTGTCTCCTGGTGTGCTGGCCTGTCTCCTGGTGTGCTGGCCTGTCTCCTGGCCTGTCTCCTGGTGTGCTGGCCTGTCTCCTGGTGTGCTGGCCTGTCTCCTGATGTGCCGGCCTGTCTCCTGGTGTCCTGGCCTGTCTCCTGATGTGCCGGCCTGTCTCCTGGTGTGCCGGCCTGTCTCCTGGTGTACTGGCCTGTCTCCTGGTGTGCTGGCCTGTCTCCTGGTGTACTGGCCTGTCTCCTGGTGTCCTGGCCTGTCTCCTGATGTGCCGGCCTGTCTCCCGGTGTGCCGGCCTGTCTCCTGGTGTGCCGGCCTGTCTCCTGGTGTGCCGGCCTGTCTCCTGGTGTGCTGGCCTGTCTCCTGGCCTCTCTCCTGGTGTGCCGGCCTGTCTCCTGGTGTGCCGGCCTGTCTCCTGGTGTGCTGGCCTGTCTCCTGATGTGCCGGCCTGTCTCCTGGTGTGCTGGCCTGTCTCCTGATGTGCCGGCCTGTCTCCTGGTGTCCTGGCTTGTCTCCTGGTGTGCCGGCCTGTCTCCTGGTGTGCCGGCCTGTCTCCTGATGTACTGGCCTCTCTCCTGGTGTGCCGGCCTGTCTCCTGGTGTGCCGGCCTGTCTCCTGGTGTGCTGGCCTGTCTCCTGATGTGCCGGCCTGTCTCCTGGTGTGCTGGCCTGTCTCCTGATGTGCCGGCCTGTCTCCTGGTGTCCTGGCCTGTCTCCTGGTGTGCCGGCCTGTCTCCTGATGTGCCGGCCTGTCTCCTGGTGTACTGGCCTGTCTCCTGATGTGCCGGCCTGTCTCCTGGTGTGCTGGCCTGTCTCCTGGTGTGCCGGCCTGTCTCCTGGTGTGCCGGCCTGTCTCCTGGTGTGCTGGCCTGTCTCCTGGCCTGTCTCCTGATGTGCCGGCCTGTCTCCTGGTGTGCTGGCCTGTCTCCTGGTGTGCCGGCCTGTCTCCCGGTGTGCCGGCCTGTCTCCGGGTGTGCCGGCCTGTCTCCGGGTGTGCCGGCCTGTCTCCCAGTGTGCCGGCCTGTCCTCCGGGTGTGCCGGCCTGTCTCCTGGTGTGCCGGCCTGTCTCCTGGTGTGCCGGCCTGTCTCCTGGTGTGCTGGCCTGTCTCCTGGTGTGCCGGCCTGTCTCCTGGTGTGCCGGCCTGTCTCCTGGTGTGCTGGCCTGTCTCCTGATGTGCCGGCCTGTCTCCTGGTGTGCTGGCCTGTCTCCTGATGTGCCGGCCTGTCTCCTGGTGTCCTGGCCTGTCTCCTGATGTGCCGGCCTGTCTCCTGGTGTACTGGCCTGTCTCCTGGTGTGCTGGCCTGTCTCCGGGTGTGCCGGCCTGTCTCCCGGTGTGCCGGCCTGTCTCCGGGTGTGCCGGCCTGTCTCCTGGTGTGCCGGCCTGTCTCCTGGTGTGCCGGCCTGTCTCCTGGTGTGCTGGCCTGTCTCCTGATGTGCCGGCCTGTCTCCTGGTGTCCTGGCCTGTCTCCTGATGTGCCGGCCTGTCTCCTGGTGTGCCGGCCTGTCTCCTGATGTGCCGGCCTGTCTCCTGGTGTACTGGCCTGTCTCCTGGTGTGCTGGCCTGTCTCCTGGTGTGCCGGCCTGTCTCCCGGTGTGCCGGCCTGTCTCCGGGTGTGCCGGCCTGTCTCCTGGTGTGCCGGCCTGTCTCCCGGTGTGCCGGCCTGTCTCCGGGTGTGCCGGCCTGTCTCCTGGTGTGCCGGCCTGTCTCCTGATGTGCCGGCCTGTCTCCTGGTGTACTGGCTTGTCTCCTGGTGTGCTGGCCTGTCTCCTGGTGTGCCGGCCTGTCTCCTGATGTGCCGGCCTGTCTCCTGGTGTACTGGCCTGTCTCCTGGTGTGCCGGCCTGTCTCCCGGTGTGCCGGCCTGTCTCCGGGTGTGCCGGCCTGTCTCCTGGTGTGCTGGCCTGTCTCCTGGTGTGCCGGCCTGTCTTCTGGTGTGCCGGCCTGTCTCCTGGTGTGCCGGCCTGTCTCCTGGTGTGCCGGCCTGTCTCCTGGTGTGCCGGCCTGTCTCCTGGTGTGCCGGCCTGTCTCCTGGTGTACTGGCCTGTCTCCTGGTGTGCCGGCCTGTCTCCTGGTGTGCCGGCCTGTCTCCTGGTGTGCCGGCCTGTCTCCTGGTGTACTGGCCTGTCTCCTGGTGTGCCGGCCTGTCTCCTGGTGTGCCGGCCTGTCTCCTGGTGTGCCGGCCTGTCTCCTGGTGTGCCGGCCTGTCTCCTGGTGTGCCGGCCTGTCTCCTGGTGTACTGGCCTGTCTCCTGGTGTGCCGGCCTGTCTCCTGGTGTACTGGCCTGTCTCCTGGTGTACTGGCCTGTCTCCTGGTGTGCCGGCCTGTCTCCTGGTGTACTGGCCTGTCTCCTGGTGTGCCGGCCTGTCTCCTGGTGTCCTGGCCTGTCTCCTGGTGTGATCTTTCTAACTGCCTCATTTCCACAACATCAGGTGAAGTAAATGTCCCAGACATTTGTCTTGGAGTCACTCTGTGTTTTTGAGTGAGCCCTAAGAGTTTGTGAGCAGTTTATACAAATACAGACAGCTCCTCATTCAAAGAAGTTTTTTTTTCATGATTATGAAAACTGTAGATTGACACTGCCCACTAAACATCCGACGTCCACTCAACCTCCAGATCACGTCAAAATCGCGTCGGTCGGTCGTGACCTTTTATTTACGTCCAAACGACGTCTGTGCAAGGTGCGCATCTGGACGTAAAACAATGACCTCCCATATTGAGAATGAGGAGTCACGTGCCGAGTTGGGGTGATTTTGGGGGGGCTCTGAGCCTGTCGGACATATTGGCTGCGCAACGGGGGCACGCCCCCAGAATTTCACGCGCTCCTCATATTCCAGAGCACTTTAAATTATACGCATTTACGTTTTCGGCGAGACAGAGACGGATCTACTGATACAACAAGGGAAAGGAAGACAGTAAAACAATGCTTAGAGATAAGGCGAAAGAGAAGGGACCGTACAGGAACAAGCTCATACCAAGCGCAAAACAGAGTATTAGTATTAGATAGCAATATGGCCTACGTGCAGGACTGTACAAGGACTCTACAAGGACTCCATGTTATGACTATGATTTGACTGTCTCTTTGTGACACGTATGTCTTTCCATGTGTGACGTGACAGTGACTATATAAACTGTGTACTGCCTTTATTCTGTCTGAGAGAAAGAAACAGAGTAAACCAGTGGAACTTGAGAGAAACTTAAATAAACTTCCAGAGTTTGGCACACCACGATCCGTCTCTGTCTGCCTAAATCCTAACAGATTTGGTGGAGAATGCGCGGCTCAGTGTGTGCCGTTCTCTGGATTGTTTTGAGGGAATTTCCTCTGTTTCTTTTTTTCGGCGTGTGGGAGCGACAGCACGTTATCTGGAAGGGGAGAAATCCCAGCGGACGCTGAAAGGGCTCGCTTTTGGATGGGCTTGCTCTTGCTCCCTCACTTTCTCTGTTTTGTGTTTAAATTGAACTTTTTGACGCGGAAAAGATGTTGGTCGACCTCTCGAACAGTCCGGACAAAGAAAATAAGGTAAGCAGACACCTTTTTTAATATGTAAAGTCTGCATAATTGGATACTAGCTAAATTTTGAGCTGTCCCGGAGGTCTGTCCAAATCTCTCTAAATCAAATTTTCTTTGTTGTGTCTTTGTCACGTCTTTGTCATGTCTTATGTTGTAGAAAACAGGTTAGCTGTGTGGGTAACCAGTCCCTATAGGAAAAAAGAACCCCTTGACGTATCGGGGTCCCTGTCCTTTGAAGAAGTCAGGGCAGAGAAAGAGTAATTACAGGGTAGAGGCCCTTTTTAGAGTAATTACCGGGGTAGAGGCCCCTTGAGAAAAAGAGTAATTACAGGGTAGAGGCCCTTTTTTGAGTAATTACCGGGGTAGAGGCCCCTTGAGAAAAAGAGTAATTACAGGGTAGAGGCCCTTTTTTGAGTAATTACCGGGGTAGAGGCCCCTTGCTAGCCAGAGAAAAGTGTTGGATCCAAAAGTGTAAAATTAAAAGCAATAAAAAGGGAAACGTGTTAAAGAGGCCTTTGTTACAAAAGCTTTGAAATTGACGAATTTCAGGCTGATAAATGACAAAAGTAAAGAATCAACAATATTTCAGTGATCACGGTTTAAATTACATACAGAAAAAGGGAGTTTTTGTTTTTGGAGTGAACAGAGTTCACCGGAGAATGCAGAGTTTTATCTAAAGTTGAGCTATGAGAGCTTTCGTGAGTTATTTACATTTTTTGCAGAGTTTTATCTACAGTTGAGCTATGAGAGGGTTGTATCCAACAGTTGTTTTTGTTTTTTAGAAAGAGATTTTAAGTTTAAATTAGTTTGCTACCTCGATAAAATAGAAGCGTAAACGTTAAAGACAAGAGTGCCTTTTGTTACTAGTGTGGAAAGTGATCACTTCTAGACTTGGATGACAAAAGTTTAAAGAACAACATAAGTTATATTCGCTTAACAAAGTAATCTTGAAAGTTATTCTTCTGTATCTTTCTGCCTGTGTGTGCACATCTCTATCTGCTGCCGTTGTCACGGAAACGGCCCCCTCCTTCGCTGCTCTGGCTCTGAATCTGAAGCAAAGCTACTGCTTTTAGGATTTAGGCTTTTCATAGTTGTTATTCCGTTAAATTTGCTAAATTTGCAATTGAACATTGTGTTAGACACAGTTAAACGTTTTTAAACACCATTAGTGAATAAGTTTTGAATTAGTATGTTTTTGAAACCCAAAGATTAGTACAAAAAGCTTTGCTTTTCTTTTAAATCTGCTGCTTATTTTGTGAGTCCATTATTGTATCTGATATTTCATAGCTGTTAGTGAGAATTTTTTTATGTTTTTATTTTAGTTACAAAAGCCGTTTTTCAAACATTTAAATTAGAATCTGAGTTAAAAGTGATTAATGATTGTAGACTTCGTCTAAAAAGAAAGAGGGATTAGGAATAGAACAGGATAGCTGTAAAAGTATTATTAAGTTAAACTGTGACCCAATTTACAGTCTAAAAGCTGCGAGTTTTGTGAGTTTTGTTTTGTCTATAGCTCTGGCCTTGCAGCTGCTGCTCACTGCAGGGCGAGCAGAGTTTGATAGTGTCTTCCAATTCAAAATGTTTTTAAAAGTTTATTGAGTGCATTTGAAGAATGCAGCAATTATTTTAAATTAGAATATATGCTTTAAATGTTCAAGTGTAAAAGGGAGATTTTCCATACAGTTTTAGTTGCGATTTGAGTAATAATAATAATTCATTCTATTTTATGGCGCATTTCAAGAAATCCAAGGACGCCAAGATTAAAAACATCACACAGTACAGAAGTACAAAATAGAATACATTTTTTAAAGTTTAAAAGGTTCAAGAGATTTGAGTCTTGTTTTTTATTAAGAAAGAATGTCTGGTCTTCAAATGTCATCATTAGTAAGATAAGTAATCTTTATTTATATAGCGCATGTGGGAAAAACCCAGAGCGCTCCAAAATTGTTTTGACTTTAGGGAGAAAAACAATCTCATTCGCATACTGATATCTATTGTTTTTTAAATTGGCCGTCTCAAGGATTGTTTTTCAGACTCTGGCACACTGTGGGAGGGGTCACTGCTGGACACTGGACAGCGCAAAGCCCACCCAGCCACAGGTCACAGGTCAAAGAGCAAAGGGAAATGCCACCTCCTTGCCCCTCCCCACGCCACTGCAGAGCTGAGTGGGTGTGAGAGAGACCGGGGCCATGAAAGAGAGGTGTCTGGAGACGTGATGGGTGGAGCATCAGGGAGAGACCTGGAGGAGAGTTGAAAGTGTGTCCAGTTGGTTTACATCACCACAGTGTGACCTTTGAGACCTACAGGTGGTTCGAGGAGTCTGGAGACACAACCCCAAAATTCACCCCTTACATCCACACACACACACATACATTCATACACACACACATTCACATTTACGTTTACATATAGATACATGAAAAAGCAGAACATGAGAAAAAAGCATTTTAAAAGTTTACTCCAATGTAAACACATATTTTTAATTGTCTATCACTTGAATCTTTAGTTGAATCAGTATTTTTTGAGACCAGAAATGTTCATTTGAATTCTATATTGTCATGGACTTAATTGACCTCTGTCCTGACACTTTTGATTTGTTGATTTTGTACTGTGTGAAGTAATTACATTGATTAGAATTAGATCTGATAAAAATACAAATTATAGAAGTAAATTGCGCTTGCTTTTGTCTGAGAGACAGAAGCAACAGCATGAATAGAAATTGTGTTAAAGTAGAATCAAAGTGACTAACCATAGAGAGTAACTACTGCATAACAAGCTGTGTACAGGAACTGAGACACTGCACCATTGACCAGAAGTGCATCGCAAAGAGCAACCCAAGTGACCTGATGTACCTGGAGTGACCAGAATGAACCTGGAGAGACCTGATACCCTGGCTTGGACCCTACTGATGTCCAAGATGACCTGACCTGATGACGACTGAGACTCACCCTCAGGGGACCCTGAGGACCCTGAGGATCTGAGGATCTGAGAGAGAAAACTGGGGAGTGATGTTTATATTTTTGAAATCATGCCATTGATGAGTGCTAAATGAGAGAGATACTCATGATTTCTTCTTTTGTTTGTGTTTGTCCCTAGCTTCTGGACATCTGATGATCTATTGGACACAGCCATTTGCAGAACAAGAACCAGCCAATGAAAACGTCTATTGCCGATGCTATTGCTACAACCAGAACCTGTGACAAATGCAATATACATGTTAAGTATTCAGACATCTGACAGACAAAAACTTTGACTTTTTTAGTCTGGGAGACTGAGCAACTGTTAAAATGTGTTAAAGTGATAAAGTATGAGTATTGTAGCGTTTTAGTAGATGTTAAATAGTAGTAAAAAAGTAGAATTTGATTTCCTTTGTTTTTCATAAACATATTTCCACATAAGAGTTAAAATAGTACCCTACAATGTTATCCTTTTGATAGATCAGCTATAATATTAGAATCAGAGTATTTTAGAGATATTAAAAGTGACAGAAGTCACAAACTAGAAATATGCCTTTGCTCAAGCTGCAGCCGAGCTTTTGAGTTAAAAAATAGAGTAAAAATAGGAATAGATAAATGCATCAACCATAGATGCTTTCAAAAATAGAGAATATTTCTAGCCAGTGCTAATATCAAATGGTAAAGGGACCATTTCACAACCTTTGCTTCAAAAGTAGATAAAGTTAATTACAGTTTATGTACAGTTTTATTAGATACTTGCCAAATTCACTTGTGTTCACACATGAGTGAATGTTGACAATACAAAAAGTCCATATGAGTGTAGTCTAGATTAATGCCTAGATCAATGAGATAGATTACAACCAACAGAGATTCAAAAGCATTTTGATGTATTTGTGTATAGCACAAAAACACAATAGTAGATATTTAGATATTGAGAAGTTTCCAGCGCA